TTTGTTTTAGATTCCATCACTCACAGTTGAAGAGTACCTATGATAAAAATTAGTCATCTACAAGCTTTGCAAGTGGGAAAACCTGAAAAATCAACAGTGTATCAAATACTTGTTCTCCCCACTGTAACAGTCCCAGGAACCCGTCTCAAGCGCAGAGGTGACAGGGCCTTCTCTGTAGCAGGCCCAAGACTTTGGAATGAGTTACCTCTGCTCGTTAGACAGGCCCCCTCCCTCACAGTTTTTAAATCTCGCTTAAAAACACACTTTTATTCCCTGGCTTTCAGCACTGTGTGATCTGTGCTGAGTCTGTGTGCATCACACTGTGTTGGTCATGTTGCAGTTGTTGTTGTTATCCATTACTGTTTTTGTTGGTTTCTACGTTTTTGGTGTCCTGTTATGTTACTTTTGGTGAGTTCTTGGTACTCAACTGCCGCAGCTCTCATGGAATGGGCAAAATGAGTCTTAGATGTTTGAGCTACTAGTGTGGCTTCTTCGAAGAGATCTGGGTGCGTTCCCCCGACTATCTTGCCGAGTGGACCGTCTCAGAGCACCAGATCCCCAATGGAGCAGACTTTCTGGGGCACCAGCTGGCCTTCTTTGTGACTGATTAGAAGCTGGATCTCTCTGGGTCTGATGAGTTCTTGGAGGGGAACATCAGGAAAGATCTTCTGTAACTTATAAGCTGGAACATGTTTATGAACTTCTGCAATGTTGTCGAGTCCATAGCAGATTAGTTGAGGAGCCTTCAGGGTCTCTCTTGAAGTGTTGACACGAATCTTGATGAAGTACCGTTTGGTTGCAACGGTTACCTTCATACCGCCGACGCCATGGACGACGAGTGTGACGTCTTCACTGCAAAGGTTCAACTTGCTTGCGGCTTTATGAGTTATGTAGTTTGTATCAGAAGCCAGGTCAATGAGGGTTCCAATTCTTTGACCATCATTAGCTGTGACATTCAGGAGCATCAGGATCACAGGATACTCGCGCAGCCCAGTCTCCTCCACAAGGCTTCCTTCAGCTGCAGTGGAGTTGCATGTTTTGGATGTTGCATTACAGAAGGCATCCCGACACTGCTGCGCTAATTCAGGTGAAAGTTTGGAAAGAAATTCATCTTGGGCCTCAGTCCACCTTCTTCCCTCGGCTCTCACTGGACCAAACTTAGGTCTTTGTCTTTGGGACAGGAGCTTGGGTAAGGGACAGAGAAGGTAATGGTGTTGGTCTCTGCATTCTGGATTCCCACACAGGAAAGTGTTTTTTCTGCAGGGTTCATCGTCGTGGATTTCAAGGCATTTTTTACAAGCACCAATTCGTTGCACTGCGTCCCTCTTCTCTTGTAACTTTGTGGTTGTTCTGAACCTTCTGCAAAGGTAGAGTTTTTTCTTGTGTTTTGAGTCTCCACAGATGATGCAGCCTGCTGATTCACCACAGGATTTGGAGGTCTTTGTTCTAGCATACTTTGTTTGAAACTTTGTCCTCTCTTTTACAGAATCAATGTCTCTCAGCTGCTCCAACTGCTCGTAGATAGATTCTTGAGATTGTAGGTATTCAAGGAGCTTGACAAAGCGGTTCTGAGTGTTCACAGCATTTTTCTTGTTAGCAGCATAGGTAAGCCAGTCTTCCTTTAGGATCTCTGGGAGCTTTCCTTCAATGGATTTTGTTACTAATGGGTTCTTTATGGCATCTGCATTGTTCAATTCATTTAAATCATAGAGGGTCTTTTCAACTGCTTGGATGAGCTCTATGATTCTTTTTGGCTGGTTATCACGGACAGGTGGGATAGCCTGTAGATCTTCAACGATCTCTATGGCGATGGCAGCTTGGTTCCCATAGCGGTTCTCCAAGACTCTGAAGATCTCGTCTGCTGTGGTGTAAGCTGATAGGTGTAGATCTTTGCCCAGTCTTTCGTCGAGGCTATCAAGCAGTTGAAATTTCTTTACCTCTCTGGACCCTGTTGGTTCGCCTTGTTTCTGCAGAGCCTCCCATTCTTTCTTCCATCTGTAGAAGTCACGTTGGCCCCCTGTGAACTTTGGTAGGGCTGTAGCTTTAAGCTTTATGGCTGCAACAGGGGCTGAGCTGTGGGCTGTGACAGATTCTCTTCCACTGTCTTTTCTGATGCTGCTTTTATTAGGGCGGCCTTCCCCAACACCAGCTTGGGAAGGTAGACCTCAAGCTCCATCAGGCGACAATTGAAGTCTTGCTTCTCAGCAGATGGTGCCCAGCGGTTCCAGGTCTGATGCGCTCCTTTGACTTTGTGCACCAGCTTCTCTAGATGGGTGAGCATAAAGTCATAGGCCTCCAGGGATGTGTCAGGTAGAGTGGCAGCAATGTCCTCACACTCTGCCTCTGCGACTTTTAAAGCGAGACTCAGTTCTTTCTCACCGTATGAAGTCCATAATGTGTCTTGGATGAGGTGCTTTACTTCTTTTAACTTCTGCTGACATTCTTTTTCTGTCTTTTCAATGTCAGTTTTCTGCTGCTCACTTAACTCAGGTTCGCCCTCTGCATCTTCATCTTCTGCTTTGCACTGCGTGATGTACGCAACCTCGAGCTCCTCATTTGCCTCCATCACTTTGGAGCCCTCTGTTGTGAGTCTTTTGAAGTTTTCTTCTAGCTCCTCCACAGACATGTCCATATGGGTCCTCATAATATGGTTGGTGAGTCTTGAGAAAAGTCTTTTTGCTGTGGTTCGCTCCACTTTCAGGTCTTCGAGTGCCTTGGTCTCGGCCATGTTGCTCCCTCTTGGCTGTTGGACAGACGGACAGCAGAACGTTTCCTCAAGGCTTGAGTTGAGTTTTCTCAATCTTTGTGGTGGGCTGTAGTGGAGTCTTCACTGGTCAAACAGTTTCACTGGTAAAGTGATTTTTCACTGTTAAGGCGGTTTTTCACTGTCAAGTTTCTCTGCAGTTACTGTGAGGTGTCCACTTGACAGACTGGGACCAGACTTCCTTTTTCACTCAGCATTACTTTACACACATTGATGTTGTGGTTTAACATATGACTCTAGTGCGCCCCCTACAATATTCCCACAGTTATATCTCGGTGATACATCATCCAATCTGAACCAGAATTTTTGTGCATAATCAGTGACCACGTCTACACACATTGATATTGTGGTTCAACATATGACTCAGATGTCAAGTTTCTCTGCAGTTACTGTGAGGTGTCCACTTGACAGACTGGGACCAGACTTCCTTTTTCACTCAGCATTCCATTTTTAATTTCACCAGTTGCACAGATAATACAGTTGATTTGGTAAACGGTGGTTACAACTAATCAGGTGGTCAGTTTATCAGGTGAAAAACCTTCAACAAAAAACACAAATAAATTAGTCTAAATACATAGCTACAATTTTTTATAACAAACGCTCATATAAATATTTAATAATTACTTGAATAGACTTATATTTTATATAGAACAATTTATATAGAACAAACATTTCCACATTCAGTGATTACTCAAATAAATTTTGTCTTCCTCTACTCAAAGCAAACAGATCCAAAGAGCACCTCTAAAACTCCAATTAATGAGCTTACCGATAATCCTTTAGGTTAAAATCCCCTTTCCTCACAGGTTTCAAGTCTCTGTCTCTGCTGCCGCACGCCCTGCTCGCTGTGCTTTTTATTTTTCTCTCAACCGAGTGGCTGGTTTGCTGTTGTTATTGCCAGTGCGAGCCGTCAGCTGATTTGATTAAGCGCACCTGCTCAGCGCTCACAGTCGCGCTGCCGTGTAGAGCGTGTGCACAGTATGTGCAGCGTGCACTGTGTGGGCGGCGCCAGGTTGCCGTGACATCAAGTGTGCCCCTTAGATTATTCCAAGAGTTATATCTCAGTGTATCATCCGATCTAGGCCAGATTTTTGGTACATCATTAGTGGGCACTTCTACACACTCTGATATTGTTTAACTTTTGACTCCAGTGTGCCCCCTAGATTATTCCAACAGTTATATCGCAGTGAAATATCATCCAATATGTACCAGATTTTATGTGCATGATCAGTTAACACTTATAGACACATTGATAATGATTCATGATGTCACTTAAGCCCCACCTACTCAAAGAAAAAACTGTCAATTATTGGATGACACTTCCAGCTTCGCACTGTGTAAGATATTAGACTGAAACTTTGTTCGCCAACTGTTGACTACCACACATGGTTTGTTGAAAAGCATAAAGGAAGTGCTGGTCAAACATTCGCCACAAAACAGGAAGTCACCATAACTCCTGTCTGGAATGTCAGATTTCGCCTATACTTGTAAGACCTGCAGCTGGGCAAGTAACGAGATGGAGGGAAGGCGATGTCGAAGATTCGGGAAATGCAACTCGTGGTGAACGCGTGCGCAATTGGCACGAGAGTGTGTGCAATGGCGACTGGGTGGACTAGCTGGAGTTCCTGCGGTCGCGGTAAGGCCGGAGCGGTGCTTTGCTGCGAGGGCCTCCAATGCTGCTTGCTGCTTTAATTATTTTTATTTTTCTGCTGCTTTCTGCTTCTTTCTGCACATTTCAGCTTTCTACTTTTGAAACTGTCCTGACGATGCTCAATAATGCAGGTAGATAAATCTAATTAGGCAGAGTCAGCTTCTCTGGACGAATGATTCTTAAAACGTTTCGTCTTTTATCCAAAAGACTTCTTCAGTCTGGAGCTGCAACAAACTCACCTTCTCATAGTGAACCAACCAGTTTGTTGGTGACATCCAGAACCAGCTGCTCACATGGTCAAGGAGGACCTCTTGCATGCCAAGAACTAGTTTTGTCAAAACTAATTCTACAAAACTAGTTCTTCGCATGCAAGAGGTCCTCCTTTTGCATGTGAAAAGCTAGTTTGTCTGTCAGTATAACAACTGATGGTTCTTTAAGGGGGGATGAGATCAGGGATTTAGTAGGCGGGGCGCCCTCTTTGGATATTGGTAGGGGAAACTCTGCAGAGGGACACGGCTCATGCTTGGCTGAGAAAATAGAGAGAAGTAAACTGTCTCAACATTTAATGCGTTGTTCTCTTCCCAGCTTTAAAGACCACCCGACTCTGAACGAGCGGTACCTGCTGCTGCACCTGCTGGGCAGAGGCGGCTTCAGTGAAGTCTACAAGGTATCGTCTGCAGGATTTACTCCTCTTCATCACTTTGTCTGCATAAAGTTAGTGTTGGAAGATAAAGTGTCTGTTTGCTCACTGTGCAGGCGTTTGACCTGTTTGAGCAGCGCTACGCAGCTGTCAAAATCCACCAGCTCAACAAGAACTGGAGAGAGGAGAAGAAGGAAAACTACCACAAGTAGGTCGCTCCTACACACCCAGAGACAAACACACACACGTAAATGTCGGTCCAAACACGTCAGAAAGATGAACACGTTGCTCGCTGTGCACACATCAACTCCTCTTCCTTTGCAGGCATGCTTGCAGGGAGTACCGGATACACAAGCAGCTGGACCATCCAAGAATAGTCAAGCTGTACGACTATTTCTCCCTGGATACCGACACGTGAGTGACCTCTGACTTCTGGTGGCCCTGCTGCTCTCACACATCCTGAGATGGTGCTTCTCATTGCATTGATGTAAAGCTCCGTGAAGAGTTGCTGTAAGCAGCTCCGCACATCATACACTGATAAATATTCAGTTTGTGTAAAAGACTTGGGCAAATAATTCCACCCAGTTTATTTCCAATTCACAACGACGTTGTGTCAGGGCTCTGAACAGAAACATTTGCATAGAAAATACAGTGCGGTTGTGGAGGGTTCAGCATGAGGAGTGAGTGTGAAGGAAGAGGCAGGTGAGCGCTGCCTTTAACTTTTTAGCTTGCATGCCTGTATTTTGCGCGGTTAGCTTAGCGTTATGTCAGTGTAGACAGGTGCACACAGTTCGGTTCGGTAGGGGGGTGCTCGGTTCTGTTGACAGGGCTGGGCGCCCCGCTTGTATAATGGTAGGGAACACTGACATATGGATATAGATAGATTCTATATCATTTATCAGAGGAAACTATGCTTTCTAATCTAAAAAAGTTAAATCTGGTCCTCTGGACATTCAAAAAAGCAAAACAAAAAATGTAGAAACGTTTCGTCTTTCAGCCGAAAGACTTCCTCAGTCTGAGGTGCTGTATTCAGCTCAGTCTTATAAATAGCACCTTCTCAGAGTGGATCAACCAGTTTTGCTGCTGACAACCAAAACCAGCTGCTCACATGATCAAGAAGGACCATCAGTCTAACAATGGATCATTAGCACACTGATGGCTGTTAACTATTCACAGAGGGCTGAGTGATACTAGCAATAACAGCATTGTAAGAGGGGGACAGTTGAACACAGAGGCCTCCACCCCTGTTTAATGATGGACGATTTCTTTTCACAAAGATGGCCTCCTGTACTCTTCTCTCAAGCCATCGTTCCTCTCTATCCAGGATGTGAACATCTTCATCCCTGAAAGAGTGACCACTGCCCTGGAGATGAGTGTAGACCGCAGAGTCCTGGCCTGATGTTGTTGCTCTTCTGTGCTGGGCCATCCTTTTGGCCAGTGGCTGTTTAGTTTCCCCGATGTAAGACTGATCACAGCCCTCCTGACACTGAACAGCATACACAACATTACTCTGTTTGTGCCGGGGGACTGGATCTTTGGGATGAACCAGTCTTTGCCGTAATGTATTTTGGGGTTTAAAAGCCACTGGGACGTTATGTTTAGAAAATAAACGTCTCAGTTTCTCTGATAC